CTCGGGAGGCGGCGGAAATGAACCCCAGGGCTTCCAGAAGGGGCCACGGTAACGACGTGGTGGAGCGCGTCCCGCCGCGGCGCCGGGACGACCCCCGGTCGCGCGCCGATTCTCCCTCGCAAGTATACCCCCATCACGATGCCTCGGACTTGTTGTACTTCAAGCCGCGGCAGGAGATACGGTGGCACCCCTGCTGGAACCACACCACCAATCAGGAAAAGTCCTGGCAGGAGCTAGTCAACCGCCTCAAGACGGAATGTGGCCCCATGTTGACCATTGGCTGGAACACAATATGCGACCGCAAAATGGGGAAATTCTCCTCCAAGGACCCCAGCCGACATCCCCCCGACTTCTGCCGAAGCTTTGTGTCAGAGCTCATCCAAGCCAACTTCGATGTCCACATCCTCTGCCGGAATAAGGGCATCCACGCCGACTGGGATGCTGAGTGGGAGCTCAGCGCGCAGGGCTCTAAGGGCAGAGCGAAGGCCCCCCCCGCAGGGGAAAGGCAAGCGCCCGGCTGACTCCTCCTGGCCCAGCAACGATCCCTCGCGCCAGCGGTGGTCTGGGGCTCACAGTCCTCACTCGCAGCTGCTCGCCAAGACATGTCAGGCGCCATCCGCCTGCCTCGACCTGTTCTGAGCTTCCCCACGCTGCTCCCCTTTGCCGTTTCTCGGCCGGGCGTTCCATGGCTCGCTTGGGGCCTGGCTGCCCAATACGCCGTCACTTTCAACGGAGCTGGTCCCGGCCAGCCGGGCCCTCGGCACCGCTTGCCCCGCACGCCCGGCCTGCGGTCTCCCTGACCGTCAGTTCGCCTGCCCGCCCTCTCGCCCCCCCCCCCTTCCGGGCCGGCGGCCCCTCCTGCCAGCCTGTCCCTCTTTGCCGCCTTGCTGCACCTGTTCGGTGCCCTACGCCCCCCTGCCGAATCCTGCGCTCCCGCTCTCGCCGCCGGTCCCACCGTGCGCCCCGGGGCCAGCCGTGCGGGTCCCACTGCTGCTACGCCGCTCGCGCTTGCCCCCCCTGGTGGCGGCCTTTGCGTTTGCAAATTGGCGGGCTGGTTTAGCCGCTCGCCTTTGGCTCTCGCACGCCTCTCCTGTGGCCGCCCTCCCCGCTCGGGCGGGTGCCCTGCCCCGCCGCTACAGCCCCTGCCTCGGCAGGTCGGATCGCCGATTTTCTGTAGGCTTTGTCCAGGCGCCGCCTGCGGCTCCCGCCTGGTTTTCAAGCCAGCCTGTCGCCCACGCGCTTGCCCTCCCAGCTTGGCCGTGCTCGCTGATGGCCCATCGGTGCCTGGTCCGCCCCCTCCCCCGCGCCTCGCAGGTCAGTAGGTCTCGGCGTCCCTGCTGCCCCGGCAGCTGGGCCCTTGCCAGCTCCTTTCAGACCCTCCATATGACTGTTGTCTGTTCAGTCGCTTGGAAGGTCAGAAGATCTCCGTGCTCAACCGCCTCGCAATTCGACGTGTTTTCCCCCTTCTGGGCCTGCGCCCGGCCGCCTTCGGGCTGCCTTTCCCCCAGGTGCCGCCGCTGGCTCCCCAGCCTGGCGCCCTCCCCGCCGCCTCCTGGGCTTGCAGATCTGAGTGGGCCCGGCTTCCTCTCCCCCCCGCCCGCGCCGGGTTTTCTTCCTCCTTCTCGTGTGCACCGTGGCCCAATTTGCATGTTGTGCGCCCCACGAATGCCACATCGCCAGAGCACGAACTCTGCCCAGCCGCCGACGCAAAAAGTGGGAGACGCATGCGGGCTGCGCCGCTGGCACCTAGGTGGAACTCCCAATGGGACCAAGAAGCGCTGTATTGGGCGTGGGAGACGCATGCGGGCTGCGCCCCTTGCACCTTAGGTGGAGTCCCCGATGGGGCCACAAAGCGCTGCACTGGGTGTGGGAAACGCACGCGGGCTGCGCAACTGGGACCTTAGGTGGAGCTCCCGATGGGGCCACGAAACGCTGTACTGGGTGTGGGAGACGCATGCGGGCTGCGCCATTGGGACCTTAGGTGGAGCTCCCAAAGGGGCCACGAAACGCTGTACTGGGTGTGGGAGACGCATGCGGGCTGTGCCGCTGGGACAATCGGTGGAACTCCCGATGGGGCCACGAAGCGCTGTACTCGGTGTGGGAGACGCACGCGGGCTGCACCCCTGGGACAGTCGGTTGGAGCTCCCTACCGTACGTCGACGAAATGTTGCACCATTTTTGCCGCGCATTGTCAGCTGTATTGCATTGCTCCTCCCCCCCCCTCCCCCTGATCTTAATATTGGGCACATGGCAAAGGTCCCTTGGCGCCCCCCTCAAGGCTCGCGACAGAATGTTGCACCACCGAGCCGTTTCGATGAACCCGGGACCGCAGCCAATATTAAGATTGGGGGGAGGGGGGGTGGAAGCGAACACCCATTGCAAAATCGGCTTGCTGTCTTGACAACATCAGGTGGTGCAACATGTTGTCGATGTACCGTTTGGGACTCTGTATTTTTGATGTGCTCGTTTGCCTTTCCTTCGAAGCTAGACGCGCTGAACACGCAGGGGAAACCATGAGGGCGGATGTCACAGCGCGCTGCGAACCAGGAGTTGTTCTGATGACAAGGACGGCAGGCAGGAGAATGAGGAGGAGGAGGAGGAGGACGGAGAGGAGCAGGGGTGGAGGTACAGGAGGAGGAGGAGGAGGAGAAGAGAATGATGAGGAAGACGATGGAGAGGAGGACGATGACGATGATGGGGCGGGGGAGGATGAGGATTCGGATGTGGATTCGGACGATTCGGAAGAGGAGGAGGAGGACGACGAGGAGGAGGAGGAGGAGGAGGAGCAGCAGGAGGACGAGGACGAGGAGGACGAGGAGGAGGAGGAGGAGGAGGAGGAAGAGAGTGAGGAGGAGCAGGAGGGCCCTCCGTCCAGGCCTCCCTCCAACCTCCCTCCGGCTCCCCACTCTTCCATCCTCCCTCCGACTCTTCGCTCCCCCCTCCGACCCTTCACTCTTCGCTCCCCCCTCCAATTCCTCGAGCCTCCTTCGACCCTCCCTCTCCGCACACCTCCATCCTCCCTCCGACTCCTCACTCTTCCATCTCCCCTCCGACTCCTCGCTCCTCCCTCCGGCCCCTCACTCCACGCTCCTCCCACCGACTCCTCAGTCCTCCATGGCCCCTCCGACTCTTCGAGCCTCCTTCGACCCTCCCACTCCCCACGCCTCCATCCTCCCTCCGATTCCTCACTCTTCCATCTCCCCTCCGACTCCTCGCTCCTCCCACCGGCCCCTCACTCCTCCATGGCCCCTCCGACTCTTCGAGCCTCCTTCGACCCTCCCACTCCGCACACCTCCATCCTCCCTCCGATTCCTCACTCTTCCACCTCCCCTCCGACTCCTCGCTCCTCCCACTGGCCCCTCACTCCTCCATGGCCCCTCCGACTCTTCGAGCCTCCTTCGACCCTCCCACTCCGCACACCTCCATCCTCCCTCCGACTCCTCACTCTTCCACCTCCGACTCCTCGCTCCTCCGATGGCCCCTCTCTTCGAGCCTCCTTCGACCCTCCCACTCCGCACACCTCCATCCTCCCTCCGACGACTCCTCGCTCCAACCTCCACCCCTGCTCCTGCCTCCACCTCCCTTCGTCCGGCTCCTCACTCCTCCATCCTTCGTCCGACTCCTCACTCTTCCATCTTCCCTCCACCTCACCGCTCCTTCCTCCGACTCCCCCCTTCTCCTCCTCATTCCTCCACCTCTTCCTCCTGCTCCCCCTCCCCCTTCTCCTCCTCCTCCTCCTCCTCCTCCTCCTCCTCCTTCTCCTCCTCCTCCTCCGCCTCCTGCTCCTCCTTATCCTAATCATCACCGTCGTCGTCGTCTTCCTCCTCGTCCCCCTTGTCGTCCTTCTCTCCCCCAACCCTCCCTCCAGCCCTCACTCCCTGAAACCCTCCCTTAACGGACCCGGCCTCCAACCATCCCTCCAACCCTCCCTGGAGCCCTCCCTCGAACCCTGTCTCCAAGGCTCCCTCCAGCCTTCCGTTTAAACCTCCATTCCATTCTGTATCTAACGTCCCCTCCAGTCGTGCAGCCCTCCCTCGAGCCCTCCCGCGACAGCTTCCTCCAATCCTCCCTGAACCCTCCCTCAACACTTCCCTGATCCCTCCCTGCACTCTCCCTCAAACCGTAGGCCGGTACCTGTCCAGCGGAGCGCAGTACCGTACGTCGACGAAATGTTGCACCATTTTTGCCGCGCATTGTCAGCTGTATTGCATTGCTCCTCCCCCCCCCTCCCCCTGATCTTAATATTGGGCACATGGCAAAGGTCCCTTGGCGCCCCCCTCAGGGCTCGCGACAGAATGTTGCACCACCGAGCCGTTTCGATGAACCCGGGACCGCAGCCAATATTAAGATTGGGGGGAGGGGGGGTGGAAGCGAACACCCATTGCAAAATCGGCTTGCTGTCTTGACAACATCAGGTGGTGCAACATTTTGTCGATGTACCGTATGGGGCCATGAAAACGCCGCACTGGGTGTGGGAGCCGCATGCGGGCTGCGCCACAGGGACCTTAGGTGGAGCTCCCAATGGGACCACGAAGCGCTGTATTGGGCGTGAGAGACGCATGCGGACTGCGCCACTGGGACCGTAGGTGGAGCTCCCTGTAGGGTCACGAAACGCTGCACTGGCTGGGAGAGAGGCACGCGAACTGCGGAGATGGGAGGAGGGGGAGAAGGAGGGGAGGAGGAGAGGAAGGAAGCAAGGAACGCGGGGTGCCATCTCTTCAAAACGAGGACCCAACACTAGAGGATGGTGGGGGAAAAAAGGACAGTAACAAGATTCCAATGGAGAGGTCGAAGACCCTGCTCGGCTGAGCGACTGCCCCACTTCCTCCTCCTCCTCCTCCTCCGCCTCCTCCGCCTCCACTTCCTCGGTGCCCTCTTCTTTCCTGCTCCTCCTCCTCCTCCTTCTCCGCCTTCTCCTCCTGGTCTCCCTCCTCATGCTCATCCCCTGCTCGTCGTAATCCTCCCCCCCTCCTGTATTCGTTTCTCGTGCCCCCGGTTTCCTCGCTGCGATCTCGTTCTCTGCTGATCTTCCGGCGCCTGCAGCAGCCAGGGACCAGGGGAGAGGCCGAAGGAGAGTGAGAGTACATATGAGAGTCATGATGCAGATGCTGATGCCGAGAATGAGGCAAAGGCAGGGAACGCGCCCTGTTTCTTCGGTCGCCATATTTCAAAATAATATCACCAAATCTTCGCAAAGACCTCAAGCCTGAAAGCACGGACAGACTGGAGGTGCCCACTCAACATCATCCAAGAGTTAACCAGGCAGGGTGAATGTGCTAATGTGAACATTGGTCTGGCGGCGGGGGCCAACGAGGATGCGCGGAACAGAAAGGATGCAATTTTCCGAACGTGTAGTCGCAAGGACGCTTCGCCGACATCTTTCATGTGCAATGCACCAACATGTTGAGAGCGGCGAGGCTGAGGCAGAGAACGCCCCCGTTGTCCACGGGCACAAGGTTCCCCATGATTATCGCCAAGCCTAACATTCCCATCATGAAAAAGTAGACAGGCTGGAAGTAACTGCAGAACATAACCTCCTGCAAGAGGTGCTCACTCAACGGTCCCGTGCCGCTGCAGAATAGGATGCGCGCCCATGCACGACAGAACTCGCACTGAGCTGCAGGCGTGAAAGTCTGTGCCACGGCCAAGCACAAAGAGGGGGGGGGGGACACGTCTGAGCCATGGCAGTTCACCGAACTCGCTGGGGCGAGGCGTCCTTGAGCTGCATGCGCGACCTGCCGACGCTGCAACACGAGTCGGTACGTCCATGACATGTTTTAGCTCAGCTGGCAAACTCGTACGCGAAGATGCGCGCACAAGACCCACGTCCATTTCCCTAAACGCGCCTCGAATTGACAGGGAGATCAACGACAACTGCGCGCACAGAGGCCTTCTAGGCCATGCCGAGCAATTTAGAAGTCTCAAGTATGTATCAACTGCGAGGTTTCTCAAAACTCCTGAAAACATTGGCCCCGTTGCAGGCGGCAGCTATCTCTGGAACAGTACGGAGACACTCTGACCCTATCTCTGCTCAACCAAATCTTTACAAAACGTTTCCAGACGCGAGACCCCGTGGCTTCGCGATGTTTCTGATGGATGTTGGTCGAGTCCCGGCGACACGAGCAAGGAGGCGCAAGCATCGCACCTCGACACGTCGCAGACCTGATGCCCGAAAGAAGGCGTCATAGCACGCGCGGCAGGGTCAGGTCGCAACGGTCACCATGCAGCCTCCCCCATACTCTCGCCTGCAAGCTCTGCCGTCGCACGCCTTCGCCGCGCCTTACCTACCGGCAAGAGTGTTTGCGGAGTAGGCGTATATACCTCGGACCCTTCGACTCTCAAGCGGCAACTGGACGGCCAGCCAGTGGAGGACGATCTCCTCGGCGCGTCGCTCGCGCTCGGCGGCATGCGTCTGGACCTCGAGCGAGTGGTCGAGGCCGCCGCTTGCGAGACGCGCACGACGCTCTTACCTCAGCGCGTCTCGCGCCACTGTGCGTTCACCACGGCATTCGCTCGACCGAATCAGATCCCCCTTGCATCGGACCTCCTGGACGGGCCAGGGCCAATTTTGCGGCAGCCTCGGAGCGACCGCCAAGCACGCGCGCGTCACCGAGCTTCAAGAGTTTAAAGATAAGATGGAAGTGCAGCCACTCAACCAGTCTTGGAACCCCATCGACGCTTAAACGCCGCAGAAGAACATCCTCTCGGAGCCCTGGCGAAAAGCCCGTCCAGCACGGAGTCCTCCATCGGGTCTACGGCGTAGCCCTCCTCCGCGGCAAAATCGGGGAAGCGGCTCGCCTCGAGAAGGTATTCTGCACGAGCGGGCCGATTCTCAGACCTCTCCTCCAGCGGCATCATGTGATCGGCCTGCGTCTCCGTGGCATCTTCGAGGCGCAATCAAGCCCTGGAGCGATCTAACAGCACTCTCTAGCGCCGGCTGCCGACGTCCTCGCGCTCGGACGGGGCCCCAGTGGTCGAGGAGAACCTGCGCCCCTTCGGCCAACGCTCTGGCTTCACTTCGCTACTGCCTCTCGCATCTGGCAATGCGGCCTTCGCTCCTCCAACGCGCGGGCCTTCGCCGCTGTCGCCCGCCGCCAAATCCTGGCTGAGGACGCGCACCCACTTGGCCGTGCCCAGGGCGACGCTCTTGCCCGGCGCCGCGGCCTCGGGAGGCCGCTGGAGTGCTTGGCCTGTCCAGCATCTGCCGCCGGCCTCACTCCTGGGCCCTCCACTGCTACGTTGACGGCAGAAGCCGTCAAACTTCGAAGTCGCTGAGCCCTCTGCGTCGTAGACGTAACCTCGAGACATGTCGGCGACTTGGCGACGACGATGGGGAGGGCGTGCGTCATGGTGTCGATCATCTCGCGCATGCTGGCGTGCATCGTGCAGTGATTGCTGATGCGGCTCTTGCTGTGCATTTCCGAGAACATGTGGTAACGCATGACGGCGCATGCTTGAGCTGTCGCGAACAAGGTCTCGCGCTGCCTCTCCCCGCGGCCCGTCTCCTCCAGTGTTCCATGGCGCTCGTGCGCATGAGCGACGAGTGCGTAAAGATGAAGAATGGCACCAGAAGCATAGGGATGCATGAGCCCCGTCGGCGTTTCCCGTGAATGATCAGTGTATTCACGACCGTTTTCAAAATGTGTTCGGGGATGCACCAGGCTAAGAAGCAAGACTGAAACCCGAGAAGCCGTCGACATTTTTCGACTCGCCAGGAGTCTAGCAAACATCCATACGAATGTTTCGAGCTAGAAGGTAGGCATTGATTCTCCTGGTGAGGGACAATACTTTGTAATATTTTATCCTCGCCTTGCGTATACTCAGTGCAACTCACGTGTTATCGCACACGTGATAATGACAGACATCATGACCCCTATCTCGTTTGGGCAAGCCGGTAATGGTCATCCGCGCCATACCACGGCAAGCAATGCTCACCTGGATTGAGCGCATAAGCACGCGTCCATCTCGTCGCGACAAGCGAGCGTCACGACTCATACAGGGGGCCTTGCGGAAGAGCCTGAAACAAAATCACGTCACGACGCCCCGTTGCCCAGGGCCTGCACCACGTAGCTGATGAGGCTGATCAACGCGACCTCCTCCCACTTCAGCTCGAACTCTGGTCGCGCTGGGTGCTCCAGCACGTCTCGGCACCTCAGCGGTGGTGGAGTCCACGTCTGGGTGCCAAGCACTCTGGGAGAACTTACTCGCACACTGGTGCAGCTGGGCACGGCGGACCTGGAGGACAATGTGGTGTGCTGCGGGGCGAAAGCGAGAGGGCAACGCCGCCAAGATCGCGATCGAGAAACCCTTCGGCTGAATCGCCATACGACTCGAGGCTGCAGGTCGAAGATGCGATTTCTTGGCCCCAGCAAAGAAGAGGCAACTACTGAACGTAAGTGCTGCCATCTTCTACACGGGTAACGTCAACTACGCCTCGCCTACATCGTTCATTCGCACGCACTCCGCCGATGGTGATGGTGACAATGACGGTGAGCGCGAAAGCAGATCTGAAGGATTGAAGATGAGGGATGGGGAGGATGAGGGATGGGGAGGATGAGGACGAGGCCGAGAACGGGAGGGGTGAGGCCGACAATGTTCCATTGATTGGGGCCTACGCCACGGGGAAGACGCGGTGCCTTGAAGGACCTGCCACAGAAAAGACAGGCGGGCTAACAAAACGAGCTGCTTGCAGGATCCAGTCGCAAAAAAAACGAAATAGATGGGGTGAGAGCAGGCAATCAGCGTGACCAACGATGGCGCCAGAATCTAAGCTCCGCGAGCGGCCCGCATCATGTCGAGGTTGAAGCGCTAAGCAGAAGCCGGAAGGCGATGGTATGAAAGCACGAAGCGAGGGTCCGAAGGCCCACGGGAGGTCAGGACCATCGACAACATGCGCCGGGCGCAGCACCGGACGCGAGCAGCGAAGGCGAAGAACCGGGACAATCAGCAGACATCGGCGGGAGAGCAGCTGCGGGGGCGCCTGCTGCCGCGGGCCCCGGATGACCCACCAGAGCGCGACCTTTCTCTGCCTCTGTCTCTCGACCTGCCGCGGCCTCGATCCCGCTCCTCGGGTGGCGCCGACAATACACCAGCCACCAGGGAGGCGAGGCGATGGGGCGTCAGGGGGGGGCGAGGCGGGAACGGGGAGGGGGGAGCGCGGGCATTCAGGAGGGGGGCAGGGGGGGAGAGGAAAGGGAGGGGGAGGGAAGGGGGGGGAGGGAGGGAAGGAGAGAGCGGGACGGGAGGGCCAATGGGAACTGGGAAGCAAAAAAGGAAGGAAGCGGAAGGAACGAGGGGGAGAGGGGAAGAGAAAGGGACGAGGGGGGAGAGGCGAGGGGAAGCAGCGGCGGGAGAGAGGGGGGGGGCACGGGGGGGAGGGGGAGGGGGGTTCCGCCTCGCCAGGCGACAGCGCTGGTACGTAATTTGTGTTCCCCCAGCGCACCTTTTCTCGAGCCTTTGCCGCGGCGCGCTCCTTCTCGCGTTCTCGCTCCTTCTGCCTCTCCTGAGGGGGTGTGGGGGGGACGCGGGAATGGGGAGAGGAGGGGGGAGGAGGGGTTCGAGTCGAGGGGCAGGTGGACAGGCTCAGAAACACACGGTCTTGCGCGTTGAGACTGCCATGCGGCTGGACCTGCCGTAAACGCACGCTCCAATCGCTCATGGAGCGTGACATTGGAGCCTTTCTGGGCAGCCTTGTCGGCCCAGCTCGTCGCGTTGAGCTGTTGCTGGTCACCGACAAAGATGGAGCGGCCATGCCTGAGCGACACCATCGCGGTTGCACCGACTCTAGGGAAGATTCTCCAGCGAAGAACAACGAGATCTCCTCTCCCCCCCGAGCGAGGTGGGAGCGCCGAGTGACCGCCAATCCGTGGAGTTGACTGGGAACGCGATTCGATATCCAGAAAGACTCCTTGCAGGTGCTATGGTCCTTGATGACCGAAGTGCGCCCCAGGCGAGGCGTGGTTTCAGGCTGGCGCACACGCAGGCAACAAATCTTTGTTGCCCACAGAAGGAAAACCTGGCCGCCACATCCACGTCAGTAGCTGCGCCCGCGAAAAGCTGGACCGCAAGAAGTCCGGAGCGCTCGCCTTGCCTTCTGCCTTAAAAACAGATTATCCGCCTCTTCCTGATCATCCTGATCCTTCGTCTCCTCCCCCCGTTCCTCCTCCTCCTCCTCCTTCTCCTCCTCCTCCTCCTCCTCCTCCTCCGCCTCCTCCTGCACCTCCTCCGCCTTTCCCGCCTCCTCCTCCTTTTTTCTCCCCTCCCCTCCCCGCGCTCTTTCCCGTGATCCTACTACTCCTTGCCCCATCCCCCTGCCCTGCCCTCCCCGTCCCCCTTCCAACCCTCCCCAACATCCTCCACCTCCTCCTCATCATCACCATCATCATCAGCAACCACATCATCAGCAGCATCATCATGATCAGCATCATGATCCTCCTATTCCTCCTCCTCACCTCCTCATCATCCTCAGCATCAGCAGCAGCATCACCACCATCAGCATCATCATCATACTCATCAGCATCATCATCAGCATCATCATCACCATCATCATCAACAACATCATCAGCAGCATCGTCATCATCAGCATCGTCATCATCAGCATCATCATCACCATCATCATCGTCGTCATCATCAGCGTCACCATCACTATAACCATCAGCATCATTTTATCCGTATCAGCATCACCATCAGCAGCATCATCATCAGCAGAATCATCGACAGTGTCATCGCCACTTTCATCAACAACATCAACATCACCCGCGACAGCTTCATCAGCATCGTCAGCATCCGGATAACCCTGCTTCCTCATCATCATCAGCATCACCAGCAGGAGCAACATCAGCAGCAGCAGTATCACCGTCATCACCAGTCTCACCACCATCATCAGCATCATCAGCAGTATCAGCGTCACCAGCATCATCAGCATCATCAGCAGCATCACCATCGGCAGAATCATCATCAGCATCGGCATCATCATCAGCATCAGCATCACAACCATCAAACGCATCAGCATCATCATCAGCAGCAACATCATCATCGTAATCGTCACCATCATCAGATTCATCATCATCGTCATCATCATCCGTCTCATACGTATCATCGTCATCACCACCATCATTATCATCATCACCACCAGCCCCATCACCATCATCCTCGTCATCAGCATCGTCGTCGTCATCATCATCAGCATTAGCATCATCAGTACTTTAACATCACCATAGTCAACAACCTCATCATCATCACTAGCATAGTCACCATCAGCAGCAGCAGCGAATCTCTGTTGCTCACAGGAGAGAAGCCCGCCAACAACCTGCTGGCAACCACATCCACGTCAACAACTGCGACCGCGACGAAAAGCTGGACCGTGAGAAGATCGAAGCGCTCGCCTTGCCTGCTGCCTGAAATCCATATCCTCCGCCTCTGTCTGATCATCCTTGACCTCCGTCTCCTCCTCCCGTTCCTCCTCCCCATCCTCATGCAACTACTCCGCCTCCTCCGCCTCCCCCTCGTGCTCGACCTCCTCCTCCTCCTCCTCCTCCTCCTCCTCCTCCTCCTCCTCCCTCAGCGCCCCATGCCCCATGATCCTCCTTTGCCTTGCGCTAGCCCTGGCCCCCCCACCCGTTCCCCCCCCCTCCTCCTCCTCCTCCTCCTCCTCCTCCTCCTCCTCCTCCTCCTCCTCCTCCTCCTCCTCCTCCTCCTCCTCCTCCTCATGATCACCGTCACCGTCATGGCGGCATCATGATCATCCTCCTCCCACTCCTCCTCCTCCTCCTCCTCCTTCTCCTTCACCTCATCCCCCGCAGCAGCAACGACCGCATCAGCATCACCGTCAACACACACAAACAGCTTCCGCATCATGATCAGCATCGTCATCATCCTGGTCATCGTCGCTGCAACCCTCCTCCTCCCCTCCTCCTCATCCTCCTCCTCCTCCACAACAGCAACATCATCCGAATCGTCGTCGTCATCACCGTCATCAACGCAACCGCATGAACAACATCAGCAGCATCGTCATCATCACCATCCTCATCAGCATCACCATCATCAGCATCATCATCCTCAACAACATCATCATTTGCAGTATCAGCATCGCATCGTCAGCATCATCATCGTCACCACCAGCCTCAGTATCATCATCATCATCATCATCATCATCATCATCGTCATCATCATCATCATCATCATCATCATCAGCATCATCGTCATCATAATCATCATCATCATCATCAGCATCATCATCATCAGCATCATCATTGTGATAAGCATCAACATCATCAACGTCTGCAATATCATCACCAGCAACAGCAACAACAGCATCGTCAGCATCAACATCACCATCCGCATCTGCAGCCTTGCCACCACCGTCATCACGACCACCACCAGCATCGAAACCACCAACATCAGCAGCATTATCATCATCCGCATCATCATCATCATCAGCAGCAGCATTGCCGTCGTCACCATCATCGTCAAACAGAGCCTCAGCACCAGCCCCTTCAGAATGTTCATCAGCAGCAGCATCGTCATCACCAGCAACAGCAACATCATGATCATCCTCATGATCAGCACCATCAACATCATCATCATCATCATCATCATCATCATCATCATCATCATCAGCATCGTCGTCGTTCGCATCATTGAGCAACATCATCATCACCACCTTCAGCATCATCAGTACTATCATCGTCAGCATCATCGTCGTCAGCAGCATCAGCTGGCAAGACCATCATCATCAGCAGCAGCATCAACAACAGCATCATCAGCATCACCAACCTTAGCATAATCAACATCACCACCCTCAGCATCATCATCATCATCAACATCGTCATCTGGTACTCCTCTCGAAAAAGGTTTCAGCCAATCCTCCCCATCCCCCACCCTCTCCTCCCGCGACGTCTCGTCATCGCCATCATTGTCATACTCCACTTCCTCCTCCCTCGCTTCCTTCAATTCCCCGAGCATTCGCATTCGGATTGGCATCATGTCCGAATGTCCTCCTCATCCTCCTTCATCTCCCCCATGTTCCTCCCCGTCCCCTCACCAACGCTATCTATCCCCATCCTCATGTTCCTCCTTCGCCTCCGTCGCCCTCCCCGTCATCCTCCTGCATTGGTTGGTGCCGCGGGCGTCCTTCTCGCGCTCCTTTTCGCGTTCTTTCTCTCTGAGTCGCTCCTCCTCCTGCCAGGGCGAACGGCCGCAAGAACAACGACACCAACCTCCCCCACCGTGGTCCCCCCCCGTCCCTCCCCATACCCTCTTCCCTCTCCTCCCCATCCCCAACCCTTCCCCCGCTTCCCCTCTCATCTCCAACATCACACCTCCCGTCTCGGCCTGCTCCCACGTCCCACCCGCCCCCATGTCTCGGCACTGACTAACTACCCGAATACTACCATCCTCTCTCCCCGAAGACGTGCTGAGAGTAGCGCTCCCCCCTCCGCGTACTGGCGCTTGCACACAGGATCGCTCAGAGTTGAGTGTGTACGTATGTTTATATATTGAGAGATAGATATGTATAGCTATATCCATACATAGACACGTTTGCAATCGCGACGTTGCCCCCGTCATTCAGACTGACTCTCTCTCCCAAGCGCGAGCCGCTGTTCTGGATCCGAGTCCTTCCTCATCGATCTCGACCCCATGCGTTCTCCTCCTCCACCTTCCCCTGGTCCTCCTGCTCCTCCCGCTCCTTCCACTCCAAGTCCTGCTGGTGCTGCTGTTTGTCCGCTCGTCCTCCGTCCCCTCTTGCTCATCCTCCTGCTCGCCCTGCCTCCTCCTATGTACGCAGCTTCCCTTTTCCGATTGCGCAAAACACAATGGGCCAGTGTTTGGAGTCCCAGGTCCGCAATGGGACGGGATGAGAGGGAGGGGTAGGATGCCAGATGTGGCGCGAGCACACACAGCTTGCCTCCATCCCCTCTGCCTTGCCCTCCCTGTCCCTGTCGTCCTGCTCTTCCCACGAGTCCTATCCCACCCCTTTCTGCTGCTGGTCCTCACACCTCCTCCTCTCTCTCCCTTAGAAATGTATGCGCCCAATCGAAGCACCAGACGTGTCTGTATGACGGCTCAGGCGTCTCACTGTAGACATCTGTGCCCGTGTACGGCCCTGGAGCCTGGACGCTCCCTACAACTACACGGGATGGAGGGCGACACGTTTTCAAGTTGTGGCCTTCGCCTGAGCATCGCGCACATTCGTCATAACGGCCTGCGGCATCTATGTACACGGATGTAGGCCGAAGCGTTGCAAAAAAGTGACGCTCGTCTTAGCGCCGCACGAAGCTTTGCACCGTCTACACGAGCGGGCGACCGAACATGTTTCAAAATGGAGGGTCGCAGGCGCGATCCGACCATATGGTCAGACATGTACCGTTGAGCGAGAACGCGGGTGGAGGGCAGACCCTTCCCAAAGAGGGGGGATACCGGCTCACAAGCTGCCAAACCATATGAATGCAACAAGTACACGGGACGCGACGCGTCTCAAAACGGTGCGAACGATTGACAAATCAGTGACCTTGAAGGTCATGCCGTTTGGCAATTTTTACCCCTACATATATGTATGTATGTATGCAGACACGTACGAACAAGGGTGGAACTTGCACACATGAGGCTCTCGTTCAAATGGCACGCCCCCGGAGCTCTGGAACTTTAAGGTGGCGCGTCCCGTCGTTAACCGAACGACAGCATGGATCATGAGGGGACGTGGACAGGGAGTGTGCACTGCGTCTTTACCGATGTATCCTGAATTCACGTTGATCCAACTCCTTCTCCTCCTCCTCCTCCTCCTCCTCCTCCTCCTCTCCTCATCCGCTCCCTCCCAATCCTACTCGTCACCGTAGCCGTCCTCCACCGAATCCTCCTCCTCATCGGCCTCCTCCTATTCATCCACCCCTTCGTCCTCCGCTTCATCCTCCCCTTCCCCTTCCCAACCCTTCCCCTTCCCCCTCATCGCCCCATGCCACTCCTCCTACCAGCATCCTCGGCCCTCATCCGAATTCTCGTGCTCCTCGCCCTTATCCTCGCATGGTGTTATCCGGGCCAAATTCCATTATGTTCCTCCTAGTCGTTCTCATCATCCGCGTAATCGCCATCGTTGTCCCCGACGTCGCCGTCATACTCCACCACCGTTGCGTTCCTCTCTACATATTCCTTATACATACACTTCCAAACATCAGTATACTGCTACGTATAGTTACATGTATGAGTAGAAGTTTTCTTACACTTCTACGTATACTTCTAATTATACATGGTATTTCTAAGTCTACAAGTATACGTGTTGTTGGCTTCACGGCCGTTCGAATAAATGCCGGTTGTCTTTTGACCGCCCAAGAGCTACTGCCCTACATCGGAGCCCCCCTCCTCCTTCTCCCCCTGAAAACGAGAGGGAGAAGACCATTGTGACAAGGAGGGCGAACACCTCAACTACCCCAGGACAAGGAGTTGGGTCCCACGAGGTGCCACTAGAACATTACCCTGGCGAGGGACCCGACCAAGTACAATTGTGAAGACTGTCGTTGTGCATATCGCCGTCGGCGCCACGCGAACCCTGACACTGGGGCCTGAGATGGGGCTGCCCATGTGGCCACGAAAGGTGTGAGCGGTGTGCCGAATTGAAACACCGACGCCATGCGGACCCGGGCATCTGGGCCTTAGCTGGAGCTCCATATGGGGCCACGAATGCGCGAGGGGTGTTCCGAAATGAGGCAAACGCCATGCGAACCCTCGCATTTGGGCCTTAGATGGGGCCGCCACTGGGACAACAAAACGTGAAAGCGGTGTGCCGAAATGAAGCACCGACGCCATGCGAACCCTGGCCTTCGGGCCTTAGCTGGCGCCCCCTACGGGGCCACGAACGGTGTGAGGGATGTGCCAAAATCAAACACCGACGCCACGCGAACTTTGGCGTTTGGGCCTTAGCTGCTGGAGCTCATTCGGGGCCACGAAGCGTGTGAGCGGTGTGCCGAATTGAGGCACCGACGCCATGCGGACCCTGGAAGGTCGGGCCTCAGCTGAAGCTCCATATGGGGCCACGAAGCGTGTGAGGGGTGTGTCGAAATGGCGCACCGGCGCAATGCGGATCCTGGAATTTGACACTCGACTAGAGCTCTCGATGGGTCCACGAAACGTGAGGGGTGTGCCGACATGAAGCACCGACGCCATGCGGAAACTAGCATTTCGGCCTTAGCTGACTCTCTATGGGACCACGACAAGTGTGAGGAGCGTGCCAACATGAAACACGGACGCCATGCGGACCTTGGCAATTGGGCCTTAGCTGAAGCTGCCTGTGGGGCCACGAAACGTGTGAGCGGTGTGCCGAATTGAGGCACCGACGCCATGCGGACCCTGGCATTCGGGCCTTGGCTGGGGCTCGCCATGGAGCCACGAGGGGCGTGACGAAAGAAGGCACCGACGCCATGCGGACCCTGGATCTGGGCCTCAGCTGTAGCTCCCTGTGGGGCCACGAAGTGTGTGAAGGGCGTGCCAGAATGAGGTTCCGACGCCATGCGGATGCTGGCTTCGAATCTTAACTAGAGCTCCATGTGGGGCCACGAAACGTGTGAGCGGTGTGCCAAAATGAAGCGCCGACGCCATGCGGACCGTGGCAGTTGGGCCCTAGCGGGAGATCCCTATTTGGCCACGGAGTGTGTGAGGGGTGTTCCGAAGTGGACATGCGGAGGTCAGAGGCAGGGATGGGAGAAGGAGGAAGGGAGAGGACGAGGAGGAAGGAGGAGACGCGGGGCGCTGTCCTTTCATTACTCCGACTGAACGGCCCCACATGAGAATCTGTTCAGCTTGCCTGAGGATCTCCTCTTGCCCCCTCCTCCGACACCCTCCTGCATCCTCCTTCTCCCCTTGCCTCACCATCCTGTCTCCGCCTCTGTCTGCATCTCCTCCTCCCCATGCCTCCTCTTGCCTCCTGCCTCCTGCCTCTTGCGTCCGCCTGCCTGCTGCTGCTGCTGCTGCTGCTGCTGCTGATCTTCCTCCTTTTCCAGTTCTTCCACGTCCCCCTCCACATGCTCGTCCTCGTCCTCGTCGTCCTCGTCCTCGTCGTCGTCTTCGTCATCCTCCTCCTAACTCCTCCGTCTCCACCTCCTCCTCCTCCTCCTCATCCTCCTCCTCCTCCTCCTCCAAGGCCCCCGTCGGCCCGAGGGATTGCAGGCGGGGGCAGACAGCTGTCCCCGAAGCGCCACCGCCGCGTTTCCGACACCTCTCCAAGGTGTTTCCGCTCGGGCGGCCGCGATAGAGATGCATCGTCTTCGTGTATGCAGCTATAACGTATTGTCGTTGCGTCAAATGGGGAAGCGGGATTATATATGTCAGCAGTTACGATCAGATAGGTTTGCAGGGAACGCAGTGCTCGCAGTTACGATCATGCTCGCTGCCTGTCTTCGCCAATCGGTCGGCTCGTCCGTTGCCAACGTTCCCGTTGTGGCTCCTTACCCATCTGATGATCAGGTCGAAGTGAGGCTGGCAATGCTTCCAGAGGTGGTCGGCCAGCGCTGCCAGTTCGCAGTTTTCCCGCGGTTGGAAAACCTCCTGCAGCAGGTTGCGGACGTGGGTCGGCGGGTCCGTGGTCACCAGGATGCGAGTGCGGTCGCGGACCCACGGCTCTGTCAACTGGCGCTGCCCCAGGAGCCACATGAGAATTTCCACGATGGCGGAGAGCTCGCCAGTGTTGGAGGAGATGCAGCTGGCGCCCACAAAGCGCGCGTTGGCCGGCGTTGTGGTGACCTGACCGCAGGCCTCCAGCAGCGGCGTGTCCTGGTCGCTGGGCTCGGCGACCTGGTAGAGCGCGAAGCCCCAGCCGGCAGCGGGGCAGCGGTGTCGAGCGCCGCCCCGTCCACGACGTGCGGAGCCGCCCGTGAAGATCCTCATGGCGTTGGTGAAGTCGCCCTCCGTGTACATATGTGCTCCTGGCAGCGTGCAGCTGATCTGGAGGGTCGTGCAGATTCTGGCGTTGAACTCGCGCCTGCCGTCCAGTTGCCATGCCGCGGGCTTACGGGGAGGTCGTTCCAGCGTGGCCCGCATGGCAGCGCAGCAAGAGTGGCAGGCGGTCGCCTCCGCGACGTTACTGAAAAGGGGGCCTGGCAGTCGACCTTGCGGACCCAGTCTCTGTGGATGAACATGAAGTCTATGTGTTTGGGTTCTTTGCGATTGTCGAAGAAGCATGCGCGCTGGCCCCAGTTGCCCTTTGAGAAAATGTCGGCAGCAATCAAATCGAACTATGCCATCAGAGCGTGCAACATTGCGCCTCTCCAAGCCATGTCGGAAACCGAAGTGGGGCAACCGTGTCACCGTCCGAACTTCCAAGGCCGTCCTGGGCGCCTATACTGGCAATTGCGTGGCAATCGACTGACATAGAGATCAAACACTCCCGAAGCTGCTCGACAGTCTCTGCGTATTCACATCGTACTATGTGAGAAAGAAGACGGCTCGTGATCGCACGGGTGCGGCCCCAGACATCTAGCTGTAAGTCCAAATGCATGGTGCGACCGTGATTCTGCGGCGATCCCACGACGGAAGGCCCAAGTGATTCATGAACTACTATCGCACATCATTGCCAGGCCCCCGCTGGAGGCAACACGTGTTTGACATGGCCGTCGCAGGTCTGCCCAGCGCCACCAGCAACGCACCATGCTTGAAGAATGATAAGTTGTGGGCTGAATTCGTTTGCAACTGAATCGAGGACGTGCTGGCGCTGCCGAGCAAAGACACCTCTCGCATTCCACGCCAGAACTGTGGGACCCCTGACATCCGTAGCAAAACGCCGCCCCGCACACGAAATTACTGGGCCCTCGGTGGGTTGTTGACCTTTCCCAGCCTGTCCTGGAGCTGCATATCCTTCAACTCCTGTCCACGCAAGGCGAACGCCAAGGGGTCCTGGCTGATCTCGAGCAGGTCAGTGTTCCGCGAGCGCGTCAGCACCCGAATCGGGCGCTCCACACTGTTCTTGCGGTACAGCACCTGGCCACGCCGAACTCCCTCAGGGGCCGTACTGCGCAGCTCACCCTGCGCGAGACCTCGAACTCGTGCGGCTCCTGGTCCACGTTGTGCCAGAGCCTGTCGGTGCGAGCGCATGGGCAAAGGATCCCCTGCCCCTTACAACGCCTCATGAAGGCCCACAGGTTGCCGTTACCTGCGAAGACCACCTTAGCGCAGGAAAGCCCCAAGATCTCTGAGATGCCCTGCGTCTCGAGGGGCCCCGTCTTGGCCAGCTCCGTCGTGAGGTGACGCTCGACCCCAGACTTGCCCCATGTGCCTGGAAAGCCAGCCACGAAGACGACGTGTTTGGTGTTCTTACCAGATCTGGTCCGAGCAGAAGTCGGCGGTGGCGGTGAGCCCATGCCGTCCCTTTGCTGCTGCAGGTAGGCGCTCCAGGGGCCCACCACCGAGGGAGCAGCACCGAGCCCTGGCCGCGACGCAGCGGTGCTCGCTGCAGAGGAGGCGGCTCTGCCCGACTCCAGCGCGTCGAGCCTCGCCTCCTGGGCCTGAAGCCTCGCCTGCACGGACGCGATGTCCCGTGCGCTAGTCTCCGTGGTCCTCCTCAAACTGGCCACGCTGGACTCGATGCCCTGGATGCGGCCTCCCATCGAGGACTCCAGGGACCCGATGTACCTCGCCAAGTCCAGCTGCGCGGGTTCCTGCGGCGGCGGGGGCGGGGGCGCAGGCGCGGGAGCAGCCTGGCGCCCGCCAGCGGGTGCAGCCGCCTCCTCGTCGAGACCCAGGCCGTCGTCCGTGGCAGCGTCGCCGGCAAGGTCGTACTTCGTCACCTGGGCCCCGACTCGGCGACGCTGTTCGCGCTCCCACATCGCATCGCCTGGTGCCGCCGCCGCGCCTCCCTGGGGCGGGGAGGCAGCCATCCCTGTCGCTGCAAAATGCGCGAGAGAAGACTGAAACCTCAAAACTGGACTGAGTTCGCGAGCACGAGGGTCTCAAGCATGGCGATGAGGATGATGATGGTGATGGTGATGATGGTGATGCTGCTGATGCTGCTGATGATGATGATGATCATGATGATGATGATGATGATGATGATGACGATGATGATGATGATGATGATGTTGATGATGATGCTGATGATGACTATGGTTAGTGCGTGGGTGTGTGAGTGTGCGTATGAGGAGGAGAGGGGAGGAGGAGGAGGAGGAGGAGGAGGAGGAGGAGGAGGAGGAGGAGGAGGAGGAGAAGCAGGAGGAGGGGGAGGAGAAGGAGATCCTGCGCGGGGGGGGTGCAGAGAAAACGGGAACCCCCTTTGGATATGGGGGCAAACGGGGACCCACCACCACAGGACGGTTGGGAAAAACCTTCACAAAAGCAATGGATGGCGATTTGTTTTTATACCCCTGGCACGCAGAGAATGTACCGCTCCTCGGGGTGCTCGGAAGGGGACGGGGGACGAATGAGGACGACGAGGAACCCGGGATGGGAAAGAGGAAGGGGATGCGCGAGTGGAAACTGCATGGGGGAGCCGCAAGCGGCCGCCTCCTTTGTTCGCCCGCGCGTCCTTTTGCTTCTCCTTTTCTTTTTCTCGTTGTCGGCGTTCCTTCTCCTCCTTCTCGCGTTGCTTCTCCTCCTCTTTTTCTCTAAGTCTGCGATTTGCTCGAATCGCATCCCTGCGCAGGCGTAACGCGATTAAATTGGCAATGGACCGAACGCTCTGGAAGAACATGCAACCCTCGCTAACGCACGGTGTGCCCAACCTGCTCTTTCCGATAGGAGTTGAAGATTGCTTCACTCACGCTGCAGAGATACGAGAGGCAACGAGGAGCGACAAGGGGGGGGGGAACACGCATGTGCCGCATGTGGGCGCCGAGGGGAAAGCAGAGCCATGCCAGACGGCAGACCGATGCCAGATGCACTGTTGCGGGGCAACGCCTCCGTCTGCGCCGCGCCGTAAGTCCGCTGCTAGTTGGCAATTAAAAACCATAAAAGGGCAAGCTCAACAGAGAACACACAGGTGGTGCGCAGGGGGTGGTCTCCCTATCCATTGCAGACGCGCAGGGCGTGGCAGGCTTGGCACTTCCTCGGCACCACAGGGGGTGCGCTGGTGCAGGCGCGCAAGGCACAGCAGGCTTGGCACGTCCTCGACACCACAGGGGGTGCGCTGGGGGGGGGTCTCCCTATCCGTTGCAGGCTCGCAGGGCGTGGCAGGCGTGGCATTTTCTCGACACCACAGGGGGTGCTCAAGGGGTGGTCTCTCACCGCGGCTGGTATGCGCGACGGTCGTCCAGGCACAGCAAACGTGGCATTTTCTCCACACCACAGGGGGTGCGCAGGGGGTGGTTTCTCACCGCGGCCGCTATGCGCGATGGTCGTCAAGGCGCAACAGGCGTCTCAGCTTCTCGACACCATCGAGGGTGCGCAACGGGTGGTTTCTCACAGCGGCCGCTATGCGCGACGGTCGTCCACGGCATAGCAGGCGTCTCAGTTTCTCGACACCATACAGGGTGCGAAGGGGGTGGACAGCGGCCGCTATGCGCGCCAGTCGTCCAGGGCATAGCAGGCGTGACATTTTCTCGACACCATAGGTGGTGCGTATGGGGGTGGTCTCTCACCGCGGCCGCTATGCTCGACGGTCGTCCAGGCACAGCAAGCGTGGCATTTTCTCGACACCTCAGGGGATGCGCAGGGGGTGGTCTCTCACCGCGGCCGCTATGCGCAACGGTCGTCCAGGGCACAGCAGGTGTGGCACTTTCTCGACACCGTAGGGGGTGCGCAGGGGAGTCGGTCTCTCAGGGCCTAGCTCGCGTGGAACTTTCTCGAGGCCACAGCGATGCACGCAAGCGGGGGGGGGCATCATCATCATCATCATCATCATCATCATCATCATCATCATCATCATCATCATCATCATCATCATCATCATCATCATCATCCTCCTCATCATCATCATCATCATCATCATCATCATCATCATCCTCATCATCACCATCGTCATCAGCATCATCATCATCAACATCATCATCATCCTCATCATCGTCAGCATCATCGTCACCATCATCAGCAACATCATCATCATGATCATCCTCATCATCATGATCATCACCATCATCATCACCTTGATCATCATCATCACCGTCACCATCATCATCACCGCCATGAGCATCATCATCCGCAGCATCATCATCATCACCATCGCCGTCATCATCCGCATCAGCATCAGCATCAGCATTATCAGCATCATCAACATCAGCATCATCATCATCACCATCATCAATAGCATCATTCTCGCAAGTTTCACAACAGCTATCATCACACCACACATATCATAAGTATGTGAGGTTCCTCGGTGGCCTAATTGAAGGGTTTACCCGACGCTCCAAAACCACGTCTAACACCCCCACCCTCCTGGACCCTCTTTGAATTCTTTTTCAGGGACCCCCGATCTACCAAAACAGGCGCCGGCACCCTCCCCGTGCTCCCCCTCCGCGTCTGACACCCCCACCCTCCTGGACCCTCTCTGCGTGCTTTTTCAGTGAGCCCCCACGACACCCCCACCCTCCTGGATCTTCTTCGTGAGCTTTCTCAGGGACCCCTGACCCTACAAAAACAAGCGCCGGCATTCCCACCGCGCTCCCCCACCGCGCCTGGCACCCCCACCCTCCTGAAACCTCTTTGTGTTAGGTTTCAGGGACCCCCCACCCTACAACAACAGGCGCCGGCACCCCCACCGCGCCCCCCCACCACGTCTGACACCCTCACCCTCCTGGACCCTCTTTGTGTGGTTGTTTTTCAGGGGCCCCCCACCCTACAAAAACAGGCGCCGGCACCCCCACCGCGCCCCCCCACCACGTCTGACACCCCCACCCACCTTACAAAAACAAGCGCCGACACCCCCACTGCGCCCTCCCACCACGTGTGACACCCCAACTTTCCTGGATATTCTTTGTGTGTTCTTTCAGAGACCCCCCTACCCTGCAAAAGCAGGCGCTGGCACCCCCACCGCGCTCCCCCACCATGTCCGACACACCCTCACCCTCCTGGACCCTCTTTGTGTGCTTCATTTGGGACCCCCCACCCTACAGGTTTTGCAGAGACTCCCCACCCTACAAAAACATGATCAACTCACGAACCCAGAATGGAATATAGAACTGTAACAGATGGCAGCGTTTTCAAAGACACCTCATTGGGTGACGGGCAAATGCAATGCTGAGTGTATCGATCTTGAGGTACCCTGCCGAGGGCTGTGCTGTGCTGCACCGTGCTGAATTGCGACGTCCCATGGCGCGGTTGTGCTCTATAGCGTCGTGGATCGAGTCCTCCTTTGTATCCGAGTCCTGACCGAACTGATCTGGATCTTAAGCTCGAGCTGCCTGAACACATATTAGCTGCCCCAGAGCTAATGGACAGGGGAACATGCCAGGAGGACGCGCTGCGAAACGTCCCAAGGGATGCGCCAGGCGACGTGCCAGGGGACGTGCCATGGGGTCGCACCGCGGGAAGTGCCAAGGGGGCTTCTGCTACGGAACGTGCCAATGGATGTGCCACGGGATGTGCCACGGGATGTGCCTCGGCCTCTCTTCCCACATTTGTTCGGAGCAGGCCCCCCGACTTCTCGGCGGCGACTATCACACCCGCGCAAAGCACCCATAGATCCATGACTTTCATTGGGGTCGGCGGCAGAGGCGGCAGCCTTTATGACAAACAGGAAGAGGCGGAGGAGAAGAGGGAGGCAGGAAGAGAAAGATGAAGGGAGAGGGATGCGTTCTTCAGCCCGTCCAGCCTGTGTTTTTCCCACTCCCTGCGCTTGCCCTTCAGATTCAGTATCGTTTCGCGGATCTGCGAATACCCCTGGTGGATCTTCCCCTTCTTGTGGCTCTCCTGGTCATGTCACGAGAGAGAGAGAGAGGCGTATGGGGGAAGGGAGAAGATGCTGCTTATCATCCCCTTCTCCGCATATTCGTCCTCGCCGTCCTCTCCCTAACATTCCTCCTTCTCCCACTCCACATGCCCTTCCCCCATCCAGCTCCCCCGCAGACCTCCTTTCACTCCGTTTTTCTTCCCGTGGCATCCTCTTGTCGTGCCACGATGGGCAGATAGAGGGGAAAGAGGGGGGAGAGAAAAGAGCGCCGGGGGGGCGCAGAGGCGAGGAGGAGAGGAAGGGGGGAGGGCCTCCCATCCTCCTCCATCCCTTTTCCTGATAACTCCTCCCTGTCGCACCCCCAGACGCGTCGGTACGGCGAGACGGGCGTTTCACCCGAGACCGCCAGACTTCCGCACCACTTATGATCCTGAAGCCTGATCTACGCAACAGCTTCTCAAGGATGGAGGGCGGGTCGCTCTCAAAAAAAGTGGCTCTCGCTTGGGCACCGCGCGCATTCGGCATTGAAACTTGCAGCAGGTTCAAGGATGCAGGCGGCTCATTTTCAAAATGTGGCTCTCGCCTTCTTGGGGCCGCGCACATGTGTCTCAAAGGTTGGAAGAGCGTCAAGGATTCGCAGTAGGGCGGAACTCTCAGAAATTGCAATCTGAAGCGATTTAGGACTGACAAGTCGCAACAGTCAGGTTGATTCGCGGTGTGAAGTCTCCGTGACGGCGCTCTGGCGCGATTTAGAACTGTCAGGGCGTATCATTCACGTTGATGCTCGGCGTTGATATCTCAGGAACTGCGTTTTGGCACGGATGAGGGTTCTCAGACTGTCGTCTTTTCATGGTGCGTTTCCCGCTATGCAAATAAATTCTAGTAGGGGCCTGCGAAAAGGTAATGTGATGGGTGGGTTTATTGCAACATCGCTGATGCGTCTTGGGTTTGCACTGGTCCTCCTCCTCCTCCTCCTCCTCCTCCTCCTCCTCCTCCTCTTCCTCACCATGGCGCTCCTTGTCGTGCCACGAGCCAGCTCCCGAGCCACCGAGCGGGTATTTCACGCCGCACACCTCGCAGATGTCTTCCCCAGCGAAGTCCGAGACGTACTTGGACCTGGGGCCGGTCAGCTTCCCTCCAAGTTGGAGGCAACGAGTTCCCCCCCCCCAAAGTGCGCAACGCCGTCTACCCTGCGCCGTAGCCTCCAAGCAAACCCAACCCGGAACGACGATTAAACGAATCTGAAATAGGCGACCCCGCCGCAAACATGGACCAACGATCCAGCCTTCCCAACTCAGTAACAGCATGGACGGGCTATCCACGGAGACAACATAACCCGAAACCCAAAGAAACTTCAGCGGGATCGAAAACGAGGGACCGAACGCAGCCGAGGAGGACGCAGCGGCCTACCGACCGACCGAACCGAACCGACCGAATGCAGCCGACTGCGAAACAGCCGAACCGACCGAACCGCGGACACCCTCGGAAGGGGGGGGAGGGATGGGCAAGCGAAGAGATCGAGTTAGAGTTACCGTGAGAGGGGGGCCACGCGCCCGCGTCCCTGGGATATGTCGTGATCGCTTCGCACATGGAAAACCAAAACTGTCAGCGCTGGTGGGGGAGACCAATCAGGCTCTAATAAATGAGTCTCTTCGACCACCGCCCGTTTCCGCACGGCTCGACTGTGTGCCAAAGTCTGCGCATCTGCTGACGCTGATGGTCAGCCCATCAAGATATGCCAAGTCTACGGAATCGGCGTTCGGCTCTACTCGTTGCGTGTATTCTCCATTCCACTTATGCTTATGGTTCCAGGTTGCCATTTGCTTCTTCGACTTAACCTTTGCGCTTGCACCGTTTCGCACCATTGATCGCTTCTCCATATGTTTAATATCTGCCGCCATGGTCCAGCACAAGCGGCCGAGCGAACGGGTGGTGCCACAACTAAATCCCAGCCCTATGTGCGCAGCTTGTCAGAATGTTGTGTTCTCTCCTCTTCCCAAACCCCTTCCTCCCAGATTCGGGGAGGGAGGTTCCCCTCCCCCTGCCCGCTCTGGACCGCCCCCCCCCTGCGAGGTGGCCGATGGCCCTTTTGGACACAGAATGGCCCCCGATGCCCCAAGATAGCTTCTGAGACAACTCAAGACAATCGAAGATGGTTCACGATGGCCTCCCGCGTACCTCAGAGAGGCCCCAGTACGGCCCCAGAGGGGTCCAAGTGCCCTCGAGGCACAAATCGTCCAAAGACCTGATGGGGACCAAGGATGGTTGCCGTATCGCCTTTTCGCCTCCGAAGGGCATCTGAGGCTTGCGATGGCCCCTGAATAGCCCCAGAGAGCCCCAAGAGGAGCCCCAGAAGGTCCCAAGACGGCCGAGGGGTCCCCGAGAGCGCCCCAAGAGGGAACGAAGAGCGTTTCTCGGCAGCTGATGGAGGGCAAGGTTTAAGCACCCCTCCCCCTGTTTTTGAGCCGTAGGGCCCAAGATCGCCCCAAGGAGGCCCCAAGCCACCTAACGAGCCCTAGTAGGGCCCCAAGAGCCCCAAAATAGCCCCAAGGTGATCCCAAGAGGGGCCCGAGACAGTCCCATGAGGATCCCACGAGGATCCCAAGAGGGTCCCAAGAAGACCCCACGACAGCACAAAAAGTCCTACGCGAAACTCTCACAATAGATGATCCGCAAAAGCATGCTCCTCGTCCTCCTTCTCCTCCTCTCTCCTTCCTCCTCCTCCTCCTCCTCCTCCTCCTCCTCCTCCTCCTCCTCCTCCTCCTCCTCCTCCTCCTCGGCATCCTCCTTCTTCTCCCTCATCGCCCTCCTCCGCCTCCTCCTGGTCCTCTTCCTTCTGATCCTCCTCATCCGCCCCCCCCCGCCTTCAACCGCCTTGCCCAAACAGCTTTCATGGGCATCGCTTCTCGGGGCAAATGGAGATACTTTTTTTTTCGGTCGCGTCCGCCAGCGAGAGCGCAAGCGGAGTCAGAAGCGTTCCGGGACACGGAAGCGGCCTAATTAGCTACTACACGCGCCGCAGGCCGGCCGGCCCACTCACCAAGCAGCTGCAGGCTGCGTGGGAGAGCTGGCGGGCTGAGGGCGTCCAGGGAAGCTCAGGCACTTGCAGCCCAGCAAAATGCCAGGGAATTAGGGGTGTGCCGTGAGGCAAAGCCCGCTCAAGGGCGCGAGGACGACTGCGCCGATGACTGCGTGTCCATCATGCCAGGTGGGCGTCCAGGGGTGGTAAGCGATGGGCGAGTCGCCGGTGGGGCGCCAAGCTCAGGTCGTTCCAACGGCGTGTGCGAGCGAGGTGGGCTGAGCTGCCGAGGAACGTCGCAAACCTGCCTGAACAAATGGAGATATGCGAAGCGTCAAGAAGTGAACAAGCGCAATCGGCACCTACTGCTCTCGATACGTTGGCGATTGCTTGTCTTTTTCAGCGCAATCATGCGAGGCGAAAGAGGAAAGCTGAGGGGGACGAAGCGCGACGAAACTCTGCAGTGCCGAAAGCAAAAACCTGCAATGGCCCCAGACCCGGGACTCGGGCGGAGGGGGGAAGAGGAAGAGGGAAGACCACTTCTTGCTGAGTTGTCTCGATGTTGCTGCACCTCTCTCTCTCTGCTTGTGCTGTTCGTGAATCCATAAAAACGTTTGACAAAATCTTGCGCAAAATGGCCAGTTGATGTCTGAAACGACACAGCGTGCAAGACCGACTACTGTGTCAACTGTGGCTGTTCTCCCGAGGTTGCGGGCTGGATCTGTGAGCACATCGAATCACGTGGTACTGCGTTTCAGCAAATGGGGGCTGACCCAAAGGTGTCGGCGCTCGTCTGCGGATTATACTCGACGACCTGGTTCCAGTATCCCGGGTGCGACACTTTCGTGTACACCCTGACGGGGTGGGAGCAAGGTTGCGAGCTTGGTGGGGTCGTCCATAACAGTGCTTATGCCCTTGATATTACTGCTTTGCGATCACGGCTGCAAATCACCAGCGCAACCTTACATCTGAAACGCCGCGAGGGCCCTTTTTGGGCGGACAGTGCCGCAGATAGCCCGTAAGAGGAAGATGTTGTCGAAGTGACCTTCGTTGACTATTTGTGCGTGCTGCTGTTTGCGTGCTCGCCCCACCTGCTGTGGGAGGCCACGCGCACTTTGCTGGAGGTGCTCGTTGAGATACTATCGTCCATTAAGTTGCTCAATGAATGGAACAAGCAAACGCAAAACAAAAGCCTTGATAGGATTTCGTGGGAACGGTGCTCCCCACCACCCCACGAAAATTGTAGTCAGAGCGGTTTTGGGATCCCCGTGCAAGGCGGCTCCTTTTTGTATGTTGTGTCCGAATATAAGCACCTTGGTCTTGTCACGGCGAAGAGTGGGTCAAGCATCGCAGACGCGATCCAGAGGGCGAACAGTGCGCTATCCTCGTACGCACCAATGGCCCGGAAGGTGTTTGGAAACCCGGCTCCCCCAGTGCCGCTTCGCACTTTGTTCTGGCATTGCCTGGTATTGTGCAAGCTTCTGTACACTTCGACCGTGAGAGTTCTGAAGGCTCGTGAGGTACGCGTGCTCAATACTTGCACATGCGTGCTGTGCGCCACAAATATGATCGTACGAACTTCGATGGCAGGGCTGGTTCTGATATCCATGCCCGAGAGCATGCAGGCATGGTGTCCCCTGCCTTGCATACTGCTTCAGACAAGGCTTCTATATCTTGCTCTTCTCCACTCCGACAGTCATGCATTGCTTTTTGGCTGCCCCAAAGGGCACAACAGAAAGGACGGGACCCGTCAAGTGATGCCATGGGTCAAACAAGTGAGGGCTGACTTGTCATCCTGCCAAAGAGTGCCCACTGCTTCTCGAAATTGTTTGCCCAGGACCCTGCCGTGGATTCGAACCCTTGGTGGTGCATCATGGTTGGCAATGTTCATCATTTCAAGGACATCGTTCACGGCATCCGTTTCTTTGCGTGTGTGTGTGTGTGTGCGATTCGTCGCGAATGTATACTGGCAGTCGTGGGATTGTCTCCTTCTCTTGCATGCAGTGTTCACATTGTTTGCCACACGCCAAGCCATGTTGGCGCACGCTCGGGTCAAGCATGGTGTGCGCACAGACAAGCGGGTGTATGTCGACGAAGATGCAATCTGCAAGGCATGCCGAAAACAATGCTCGACCAAACGCCGTCTCATCTCGCACTAGTCGAACCCCATCGGACCGCTTGCTGGCTGTGCGTCGTCGCCAACGCCTCACCCATGAATACCAATAGATAGGGTAGCAGCGCAACTACACTCGGCCGACACAGCCGCGTAAAGAACAACGGGAAAGCATGGCCACACGCTGCCGCTAACTGCGGGCCCTGTCAAGCAGGCCCCGGGCGGCGCTTCACTGTTTCGTCTTCGCATTTCGCGCCCGAGAAGGAGGACGAGGGGGACGAGGAGGGAGAGTGGGCAGCGCGGGGGGACGTTGGCGATGGCTTGCGAGTTCTTTCGTGCCTACCGGCAGCTGTCCAACATCTTGAGGCACAGTAGCAATATGCAAGCCATGGATTGTGCGGAGCGATGTCCGCAACCCATGATGCATAGCACCGCCGTGATCAATGAATGGTTTCGACAAGACAGGTTCCCCAATCTGGATGTGAAACAAAAGAAACGGTCGAGGAGGCGGCTCAAAAAGGCAGGGGGAGGGGACGGGGAATGAGAAGCGGACAAGGACAGGACGGGCAGAAAGGAATGCAAGCAGTCAGACGCAAACTTAGACCTAAGACCGTCCAGCTCCTCCTTCACCATCTCCGCTTTAGCCAAATACTCCTCGAAGGCGGAAACAACTGTGTGTCGGATCGATGGCAATAGCATCAGAATCGTCGTCATGATCATCATCGTCTTCATCGTCTTGCGCTTACCCTCGCGTGTCATATGATTTCCCTTCAGGGGAGAAGGAGGAGGAGGAGGAGGAGGAGGAGAAGGAGCAGCAGCAGATTCCCAGAGGGAAAGACTCTCGATTGGACCATCCGCGCGCGCCATCAAGCGCACGACCGCAGTGCGCGGGAAAAAAACCTGAGAACCACTCCGAGGTCCTGACCAAAAGGGCTCTGCAAAGCGGTACAAACTCGAGACACCCCGCCAGGCCCGAGAGGGGCGAGAGAATGGGACGGAGCAAACAGGTTTCGAAACATACTCCGGCATTAAAAGCGGTGGTATACAGAGCAAGCCCAGAGCCCCAGAACCTGCCGTGAACTACCAGGAAACCTACGAGATACGGGGGGGGCCCCATCGAGCGTACGCGGGGCGTGCGAATACAATGCAATATCGGAGAACGAACCAACTGGGGAGAGTGTGGGTGGCCGTGCCGATCTTGGCGCGACTGGCGGGCCTCAACGCGAGACCCGCGCAGACCGGACGGCGCCAGTGATCTGGCGCGGTGGCCGCCCCCGGAGGCCGAACGCCTCGCTGCGTTCCCACGAGGAAGAGAAGAAGGGAGGAGGGGAGTAAGGAGGGGAGGAAGAGGGAGGGTAGGGGGAGGAGGAAGGAGAGGAAAGAGGGGGAAGGCAGTCCCGACCCCGCTAGGGGACGGACAAAGGATCCGAAGCAAAACCTCGGGCCCACCTGCAAAACAAAAGGAAGGAGGAGGCGGAGGGCGGAGGGAGGAGGTGGGAGGGAGAGGGGGGGAGGGTCCACCTCGCCAAGCCTCGTGACTCGACCACGCGCCGCGCGAGATCCAGCGGGCGTGCGCGGCGTGGCCGGAGATTCAATCGAGGAAGGAGGGGAAGGAGGGGAGGGAGGGAGGCGAGGAAGAGGACGAGGAGGGGACGAAACCAGCCAGGGAAATGCGGCGCCTCTGGCCGGCCTGGAGAAGTTACCCTACGAGCGCAAACCGCCCGCCTCCATGGACGCCTCCATGGACGCCTGGGCGAACGACATGTCTGCCAGAATCCGTGCCGTCCAGAACGCTAGGCCGCGGCGCGCGGTCCTCTTCCTACTGCGGTGCAGCAGCTCCTCGGCATCGTAGCCTGCGCCTGGGAGCTCGACCAGCTGAGCGCTTCCTTCGCGGCTTTGGAAGCCTCCGTCACTGCGTCCGACGCGTGGATTATCTTCGGAGCCAGGGAAAAGCAATTTTCCCAGATGTACCTGCGGCGCGGTTCCGCGCTGAGGTCCGCGAAGTGCTGCTTGAGCAACTCCCGCTCCTGCGTCTTGTCTGCCGCCGCCGGCTCCTCGACAAATTGAGACGCCTCTTCCACCTCCGCTGGCGCAGCCTCCTGGCATGCAAGACCCGGTGACGGCGTCGACTGATAGCAAATACATATGCTTGCCCCCCGTCCCTGGCGGATTCGGTTACGCAGTCAGCCTCCCTTGACGGCGTCTCCGATTTCCACATGCTGTCCTCGTGCTCAGCGCTGATGCCCCTGCCGCCCTCGATGACGCTCACGGCGTGGCTCCCGATATCCCCGACGGAGCCATTATTATCCTCCCCCTTGTGCTCGTCGTCATCCTCCTCCTTCTCCTTGGCGTGGTTCTTGAGATCATCTCCTTCTTCTTTTGCGTGGCTCGCCTCCTCCTGGGCAGTGGGGTCGGAGACATCGGCAGTAGAGTTGGCAGTGGAGTCGATGATCTCTGCCCCCTCGGGCGCTCCGGCTACGTCGGGAAAATATTCCGTTTCATTTCCCAGCTCGTCGACGCAGGCGACGGTATGCTCGGCCACAGCCGCCGTCTGACGCCGCTGTCCGCTGGCGGAAACTGTCCCCTCCCGACTACTCCTCTCGCCATGCGCACCAGCGCGCTCCGCTCGGGAATAGGATCGATGTGGGCAGAGGGCGCGATCTGCTCCTCGGACTGCGCATTGAGATTCTGGATCAAGGCGCCCAGGCGGCTGAAATGATCGAAGTCGCCCAGGAAGAAAAAAGCGCCTCTGTCCGCTCCAGGCGCGAAGCAAGGTCGCCGAGGCCGAGCCTGGGGCCGTGCCGCGACGGCCCCAAGCCTGGCGGGGGCGGCCGCAAGCCTGGCTCGGCCAGCCGCGACGATCGCAGACCCACCGCTGACGTCGCTGGCGCGCCGCCGAAGTCCCCGTCTCCAACAACGCTGCGCTCGGGGGCCTTCGGCGCCGGCAGCACCCGCCAGCCCACGGAGGGGCGGCATCCGCAGTGCTAGCGTCGCCCGCAGCGCGGTTAAAGAACTAGGGTATCCCAACAGCCCTCTGGGCGACAGGTGGTCTATCGATGTCTTTCTTTCCGCTTCCACAATCCCTTCTTCCCCTTCGGGGAGGGGCTTACCCCTCCTCCTCCCCCCTCCCCTGGACCTGGACGGGGCGCCCCACGATGTGTCAGAGGGTCCGTTCTCGCACAAGATGGTTCCAAGGGGGCCTCAGAGAGCCCAAGATGGCCTCCAAGATCGCTCAAGATAGCCCAACATGGCTCAAGACAGCTTCTGACATGCCTTCAAGACGCCCAAAGAGGGCCACACGACGGTTCCAGGTGCTCTTGAAGACCCCTCAGGACCCCTCCAAGAGCCTAAAACACTTCAAACACCTAAGGAAATTCAATGATTTGTGCCTTCTCGCTTTTCGCTTCCCATGCGCTTTGGGGGCCTTAACATGGCCCCAAGATGGCCCAAGAAAGCTTCAAGAGGGGTCCAAGAGGCCCCCCAAACGGCCCCAAGAGCGCCCAAGATCACCCCAAGAGCGCCCCAAGAGGGCCCCAAGAGGCGATTTTGATGGCCCTGGAGGGGGGGGGCAAATCGAGGACCCCCCCTCCTTTGATCGATGGTCTCCAAGACGGCCCCAAGAGGCGCTCCGGGGCTCCCAAGAGAGCCCCACGAGAGCCCCAAGAGAGCCCCAAGAGGGTCCCAAGAGTGCCCCAAGAGGCACCCGAGAGGTCCCCAAGAGGCCGCCGAGCGGTCTCAGAGAGCCCAAAATGACGCTGTTCGAGACCGACGCCTGGCAGCGCCGGGTAGGTGGCCGGCGGCCCTGCGGAGCAGGTCGGTGATAGTCGACCCACGCGTGCCCTCCCGCGGCGAATTGGCTCCAGCGGTGGTGTCGGGGGGCGGAGGAGGCGCAGGGGCGGGCCCCTGGTTGGGTTGGTGCGTAGGCGCGCTGGGCGTAGTGGCCGGGGGGATTATGCCGGACGAGGCACCTTCCTGTCGGGCCTGGAGGGCCAGAGAGCAAGGCGTTGTCAGAGGTCCCCTGGTCTCTGGTTCGGCGAGAGGAGGGGCGCTGGGGGCGCTCGCGGAGTCGGGGCGCAGCATCCTGCGCGCCGGGGAAAGCTGAGCGACAACCTCCTGCTGCTGTTGCTCCGCGAGGTGGCCTCCGGTTCCCAGCGCGACCATGTGACGCATCAGGTCCATGGAGAGGAGGGCGAACGGGGCTTCCGGGGGGCGCAGGGGGCCGCCGATGCCGCCGTAAAGAGCATATGTCCCGAGCAGGTCTGGGAGATGGGGAGGCGCTGCAGCGTTGGAGAAAACGCGCCTGACTCGCCCATCGAGCTGCGGCAGGCATGTGCACCAGGCCACGTCGCTAAGGAAGCGCTGCCACCCGTCGAGATTGTCTGGGTTACTGAGCTGCTGCGCCAGCTGCTCCGCCGAGGCTGCGGCCGCGTTGGACAAGGTAGCGCCGATCCTGCGGAGTGCGGTATCGCAGTTCCTTTCCATGCACGCTGGCAGAGCAGAATTGGGGGGGGAGGGGGGATTGTCGCCCCGTCCGAGGGAGTCGGCTGCAGTACTGACGTCAACTGTGTCTGGGGGAGGGCGGGGGGGGGCCTCCGCGGCTCCTCCTGGGGTCCCAGGGGCCGTCGGCCTCTGGCATCAGTGCGCCGAGGTCCCGTCGGTTGGGAGCCTCCGAGATGGAGGTCTGAGTCCCGGTGGGGGATGGCGAGGAATCGCCATCCCGGTCCGCCGGAGGCAGGGGACCTGGGGCGTCTGGGGCAGGGGCTATTCCTGAAGCAGGTCTGTCGCCGCCTAGAGGAGCTGCCTCGGACATAGGGGCAGCCGTGTTTGGCTGCACTGCGTTACCCTGAGCGGCGTCGGCGGGGGGGGGGGGCGTTGTCTGGGCCCCCACCTCTGGGACAGGGTCAGGATCAAGGGGCGCTCCCACAGGGGGAGCGCGTGGGCCGGCGGACCTGCCCCGTCTGGGGGCCCTCGGGGCTCTTCCCGGGTCCGCCCTTCGGCAGTCGCCCCAGTGCTGTTGGGCGGCCCTTTCCTTTAAGGCGTGTGGGAGCCGCGCAGCGCCTGGCTCGAAGGTGAGGGTTGTGCCTCCGTCGACGTCGGAGCCTCGGGACCCTGGCACCTCAAGTTGGCATGTGTGGGCGGTGTAAGTGGGGTCAGATTGGGGGGCCAACCACTGGGTGAATGGAAGCTGCCTTACAACTTCCTCTCGAATCCCACGTTCCCCAATTCGCTGGTAGACGTGATCTCGATCTAGGCGCGCTGGGTTAGCAAACTGGCGCAGCCATTATGGCGGTGAACATGTCCCAGTTGCAGCGTGCTAGTGGACGTCCCTGGATCTGTCTGTCAATCTCGTAGCTGAGGTGGGCAAGGATGCCCCTTGCCAGGTCGTAAACCTGGGGCGATGGGAGGCAGGCTCTCTAGATGCCGAGCATGCCCTGCGCAGCGGCGATGGGCGCCCTGGGGTGGTGCCATCCGCTGGCGTCTGCGGCGGGGAGGGCTCTAGTGACCCGGAGGAGGGTCTCGGTGTTGTCTGGGAAGCGGGTGGGCCTCGCTGGGCCGGGTTCGGGGCGGATTGAGGCGGTGGCCCTGGAGCTTGTTTTTTCCCCACATCCTGAGTGGGGTTCTTGTTTTCCCAGAACACCCTCTCCTTCCCACCC